CGTTTTCTAATCACCTCGTTACTAACACGCTGACGCCATCCACAACCAGCCACGTTTCTGAGGCATCGGTCGTCGAAAACCTGAAGACGCCTCACATCATCTGTCCGCAGTGGCTATGTTTCGCACCCATACAACGGCACAGCCCTTACTGTAGCCTGGTACACATGACCCTTGAGATCCATTCGTGAATATCTGTTTTATCTCTATAAAGAGTCGTCGGCAGTGCATATCCCACAAATCCCCATGATAATTGAAACTCGCAATTAGTTATTAGTTGTCAGTTTGCATTAAAGAGCTTGCACTTAAACGGGATATAGCGCCATCCAACCTTACACCACGGAATTCACATCACATGGCGACATGGTGACAGACTTATTGCGTGATGCGCACTGTAATAAGTTCCAATAAGGATGATACCGTTGTACAGCGGCTCTGAGCTTTTCGGCACATATTAACTTTACTTAAGGGACCAAATCTCGAACGCAATCAAAAGTTAATCGGAAAACTTGGCTGGAAACCCCAAGAGTGGATGAGTGGCAGACCGTCAATGTATGGTGAAAGTTACTCAGAATCATACGTTAGACTTTTGAAATCTAAACAGATCAGACTGGAAGACTTATTGCTCTGTCTGGATATCAAATTGGTGTGTGGCAAAACAGAAAATCGATATCCAAGGGGTTACACGCACGGAAACATGAAAACAGCAGTCGACGTAGTGAACCCAAATAGGACCTGACATAGCACCAACGCCTCCAATAAACCGGACGAAACCGCTCCTTGATCGGAGCAAACAGATGCCGACACATGAATGATAAAGAAGTGATCAATCTGATTACTAACACTGACCTATTAGCGTCCAGACGAGTGAGTAGGACGGTTTCAGTTTGAGAGCGCGCTGGAAATATAAAACTGCCTTGTCATGCTGCCCACGCAGACTGAAGAAGTTTCCTACCACGCAACATGTCTCCGGACGGTATTTATCCAGGCTGACACAATGATGAGCCAAGTGAGCAAGTTCGATTGAGTCCTCACGCACAAACAGCACATTAGAGTAGGCATCAACATTGTCCAAACGGCAAGGAAATTGGCTGAAAAGCTGGAAAATGGGAGATATACTGAGAAACTAAACGAAAACATCGCACAAGTCATTATGCAAGGAAACGGAGGATAGCAAATCATGTGACTGCGCGAGTGAAGGATGTTGGCGTTACATTCTGTCCGAGTAGTGGTCAGTAACTTGTGGTGAGTCGTATGGTGCTCAACTACTAACAATAACTGAATGGAGGGGACAAAAAACGTTCCAAAGTGAACTCCAGCATCCGTGCGGAAACTCAGTTTTCTATGCATAAGTTGGATAACAGTTATGTTACGAATGTGTGTGCATGTGGCGCTGAATCTATAGCTAATGTTTAACAACAAACTCAATGATACAATATTGTCTTGGGTTGTCTGGTAACTTGGGGGAATACTGAATACCTATGGCCTATTTCGCTATCTGCATATGCACAATATAATGTAATTCGCGCCTGGTAACTGCACAGCTTTCCTTATGCATCAGGCGAGCGGATCGCACGCTCACAGTAAGGTCTACAGGTCCTCAAAAAGCTATGAGAATGGCGGTGGTGGCCTATTCGTTCATCTAACGACGTAAAGGATATGCGATTCCAAAATGCCCTGATTAAAGGCAAGCTATCCATCCGGTTGAGTGAGTTAAACGCGATCAGATCTCATGTTAACAATGTTGACGACTCGTCGAGTTGCTGTACCGTTTAATGAGGAAGAATATGGTGTACTGGCTACCAGTTTTCAAGTGCAGATGAGACGTCCTTGAAAATGTTGTGTTGATTTATCGGGTGTTCACACCTAAATCGAGGAAAACGAAATCAAGAAGCGAAATGAACGGTTTATTGTTGAAATAACCTTATAATGCAAGGGCAATGCACAGCAACCAGCTCCGTGGAGGGAAACATACCGACTGCATCGCAATACCCAAGCATGTGCCAAGGAGTGTACTCATGCCCACCTGGAGCGGGGATGAGCATTGTGTCCCATTTGACTGAGTTAGACAAACGCGTTGAAGCATTCTGATTGCAACGGAGGATATTCATACCTGCTCAAATTGTCTAGAAGCCATATCCATATCACGCAGACCATCGTAAGCCAGTCCGATCTCCGCTTGAAGGTTTCCACTGGTGCTAAACCCGCTGTTTGACAGGCGTTGAAGGATGTCCAATGCCCGCTCCGTCTCGTTAAACTTTAGGAAAATCTGTAGAGAAATAAAAAAGCAGTGTAGGGAACATAGAAAGTCCTATCCGAGACAAGATTAGGTGATGAAGACCGAAACAACTCGGCTGTACCAGCTAAAGAGGATTCGCTTTCCATTTTACGAATATCGATAATACATTGAAAAGTTTCTCAATCAGATGATTGATACCGATTCTGGCGGGAAACTAGAGCGCTTAACTTACGAATCTATTTTCACTAAGTTCACGAAAGTTTATTGTCGTGGTTTACCACTTACTTACCACACTCATGTGCAACCTCAAAAGCATGTCGCCCAAACATGATTCCTTGCATTTTACTAACGGTATGCAGACAGGTAACAAACGTGATGTTCTTTACAAGTTAGTTTGCAGTGTAGTCCCAAAGGTGTTACCTCAGAGGATACCTCCAAAAAGTGAGGAGAAACTTTCCCAATTGCTTGACTGGTTGCCAAACAAGCGTGTTGCACGGCAAGTAGCAGCTCAAAAATAATGGATTCTTTATCTCCGACCCCGTCTTTCAATGTAACGTTTTCGTGGAGATCGATAAAACAGTCGAGTCCCACTCGAAATGCTTGGTGTTCGGCAAGAAACTATTAAGAGAGTAAGTTTAGGAAGCCTGCAAAATTTTTAATGAAGATTTTCTTCAGATTTTCTTCGTTACGATCAATCAATCACTAGTTTGTCTTGCGACTGCAGTTCCGTTTTAAAAAAAACTCGGCCAAACAAGACGTTACCTCAGCAAGGGAGTACAATTGTTTACAGAGAAAGCAGTAGGCTAGGACGATGTAGAAATACGTAGCAACGAAAATCGCTAACTCGAGTGTAACAACTTTACCTAAACAGAAAGCTTACCTTTGCTTCAAAAAAGTATCGCATCCAAACCTCACTGCTCGCAGCTGGAAGCTTCAAACTGCTCAAATGTTCCTTGTCCCTGACGAGTTGTGCCAACTCAAACCAGGCTGGCCAAAGACAGGGATTCGAAAGAATAGCCCTTACAAAGAGATTAACTGCGACTGACTCCATATCAAGCCGACGATACACGAGACCAAAAGCATACAAAATGAAAGGATCATTTTCCTGCAGCGCATCTGAGTGAGCGCCGTCAAGCTTACTAGGATTAACACGGTTCTCGATTTCGCTGCGCAGAGCGGACAGTTCGTTGGCGCATCGAGCACGGGCAACTTGTGATGGCTTTGCATTGCCGTCCTGTTCGAATACCCGACGGAGTTCTACTTCATCGTTAGCTCGACGCTTTTCACAGGCCATATAGGTGGAATACACATACATGAAATATACCAGTGGAGGGCATTCTTCGGTCGCACCTTCGCCTCTTAGCTTTCGCAAGACAGGACTGACAAAACGACTCAATGTTTGGGCGCAGTGATCATACTCGCGGGCATCCAAAAGGCTCCGCGCAAATAGAAATGTCGGTAAATATCTGCTTGGAAGATCGACCAACGGAGACTGAGGTAAAGCTATGGCAGTCGATAGTTGCAAATCACTTTTGTTAGATTCGGCGGTCGGGTCATCCAAAGCGTGTAATAAATCTCCTAACCACTTGCAACTCTGTGTTAGACCACGGATTTGACAAGCGAAATACGTTTGGAGAAGATCACTCCGGACACGTTCTAAATGTATCGGAAAGTTGTCTTCACCGGCATCAATGCTGGAAGTTTTCATTGGAATTGAGACAGCTGTCAGAAAGGAGAAAAACGTACACTTGTGAATCACTGAACAAAGGATCTAGGCCTGCTGAATAAATCTGGCTAACCGCGGACATCGGTCAGCGAATTAAACCCTGTGAAAAATGATCGTAGTGTGAGATTTTGCAATTTTTGATTGATTTCGTCTTGTCAGTAAGTCCAATCTATGCTGAAATACCGAAAGCATTGTACAGCTGTTTCATCCTTACAGTGGATCATTAGCAGTGCCCATCTCACGAAATTCAGAGCTTCGAACCCGCAATCTTCTGATCACTGGTTGAACACTTACTCGTTCGGCCTCAAACGGATGAACAACGATGACTAACTCTCACATTTGCAGCCTATTAGCATTTGAAACGTATCGTTCTTTTGACACATGTCCGAAATACCGCAAACGTCCGTGGTTCTATCCCAACCTCGGCACGCTGACTGCCCCCAACTGTGTTTGGGCAACCTGACACTGTCCCAACCCTCGTACTTTCTTCAGGTGACATACAAGCTAGGTACCAAAAGAGTGTTAAAAATAAAACATTACTCTATTTCATACCACCGACTAGGAGGATCGTCCACTTTGGTTTTCAATTTCGGTTTTTCAGTCGATTCCATCTCGGAATACGACAAAGCAAGCTGTGACAGACTGCAACGAGTTGTGCTCTGATATCCACCAGGATCCACATAGCCTGTTCTCAGTCCGTTTGTTTCTTCTTGAAAAAATGCGGTTGGAGAGACTCAAACACATGGAACACAAACGACAAGACCGATCCCGAGATAATTATCCCACAACGCTTTATTGACTTCTGTGTAGACCGGAAGTGATATTAGGACATCCTCTCCCTCCTTTCTCCGGACGACTAATCCGTTGTTTTGAGCCAACACGGAGCATTTCACATAACTTGCTATCTAGTAGCTCTCACTGATTAGGCAATACTATACTCACAAACACACTAGAAAATTCGGACATCAAACGCTACTCTGGTAGTCTGATGCCGATCAATGCCTTGAGTTCCGGCTTCTGAGCCAGTTTCTGGCCGAAGACCGTCATAAAGAGACTGAACCTTAGCGTGGCGTAACGGTTTTTGTGTCTGTGAATGACTGTGCAACACTGCGGGGTGGCGCCATCAATGGTTGAAGGTATGATAAACAAAGTTTCTTGGTCCTCTAGGAGACTCCAGATTTGGGGTACGGACAAATGTGACTACTTGCACTGGCGTTTCCCGCCGGACACCACAGCCTTGTGATCAGAATTTTGAGCCAGACATTGGTCGATAACTCTAATCGTCCACCGGCCTAGATCTGGACTCCCTGACAGTATCTCAGCACGTGTGCAAAAATGACCCCCACAACTAAAAATACTGTCATGCCACATTAGCCGGGTTACCTTGCTTGCTACATACCGCGAGGCAGCTAAACGAAAACAGGCTAATGACGACGCCCCCGTTTTTCTTTCCTACGTACTTCCATTTCCCCTCTATTATTAAGCCTCTGCTTGCAGATCCATTTGTTAAAACGGACGACCTCGTTCGTCTTGCATCGATCTTGGCCACAACATCTGCGTACTAACCACAGGAATTTCGAAAGCAATCTTCAAGCCTCGATGCCTAGACCATGCAGCCGCTTTCAATGTTCGCACTGAAGCAAGCAGGACAAGCTGCTCTTGCTGTCGCACCAAACTCGCTTATCAATGATGTGCGGCGCGTAGTAAAAATAAGAACTCAAGATCAAAGCAGTTACTAGGTTGACTGCCTCACCACGCTCCAGTAGATTCCGGTTGCCCACCTTTGGCGACTCAGGGGCTACTGCTGCAGCATGTGCAGGGTTAGGAACCCTTGTGTCTCACCGGGTGGACAGATCCGTGTAGACCGGATAGTCGTCGACAGTCACCTCTGTACGGTGAGTCTGGTAACATCTGTGATGTAGTATCACAGGCTGAAAGTTGATCGTTGTCCGCCTATGATTTCTGCTTACGCCCCAAGCGACTATAAATCTGACAACATCAAAGATATGGTTTATGACGCACTGAGTGTCCCGGTAACAGAGGCCAGTGAATTCTGACTGCGTGTTCGTCCAGAGTCACTTCCCTCCTAGAGCGACCCATAATTCTAGTATTCCTGGATTTCCAGGGCTCATTCGACCCGGTTGATCGGTCTGCTCTTCTTGACACGTTCGCCCACCAAGAAATGTCTCGGAAGTATTTGAACATAATACGTTCTTTGTATTCTCAGACTTTGGGACTTATGAGAGTATACGCACAGCCCTCCAAAAGCTTCCGTACACAAAGCGGTGTCCGTTAAGAGTGCCGGGTCTCTATATTCCTATTTTATTTCGTAATTGATGAAATAATGAGACGAACGCTGGTAGACATACAAAACCCCGGTGTACAAATAGCTTCTGTCGATCTGGGATATGCAGGCGACATTGTTCTCGTCTTCGGACATAAGGCACAAGTGTTTTGGATGAAATGACCAAGGTCGTGCGGTCCTTTGGCACGCGCTTTGCACTCACAAAGTGCAAGGTCATGCTCCTGGACATGCAGTCAGTGAACACGCTGCTAAACATTTAAGCAGGGGCACTCGAAGTTGTGTAGCGCTTTACGCACCTCTAAAGTCGTCTTACTTCTGACTGTAGTGTGACAGATGAAGCTGAAACGTTTGAGAAACCCAGGGCTTTAAATCGGCATATCCCAGGATCTCCAGGGACGAGTGTATCAGGCTACACTACGGATGCTTTTTGGATGTCTGTGAGACGCCGCCTTTAGCGTTCAGCTGTAGCACCCTTCCGGTGCCTAGCTGCCATGCCACCCGAAGGAAGCACGAGGGATGGGATACTGCCAGGTTGCCCAAACCTAGACAGGGGAAGCCGAGTGGCGGAGGTCGGATTCGAACCACGGTCCTTCCGGTCAGTAAATTCGCGCTCTAACCACCTGGGCCATCTCGCCTCTAGAGTCGGTGGAAATGAACCAAAGTTCAGGTGTTGTACAACAGCGACTCCTATCAGAATGTGTACAGCATTGAATGCTGCGGTGGATAGGCAATGTACTGAGCATCCCGAATCATTGTTTGCCGGAGGGTGCTGTTTTCCATGCTCAGTTCGGTGGTGCAAGCAGAGGGGTGATCAACCATTGACCTGGCAGACGGGATTGGAAGATTGCGAAACGTCTGGTGCTTTCAATGAAACTCGCTTTCCAGGATGGGGTTCAAGTGATCCCCTGTGCACGGCTGGAGATGCTGCAAGATGAGACAGTTAATCTAAGGACGGAGCACTCATATCAGATACCATATTTCTCGACTTCTTAAAAGCTTCCGATCCAGTAGCGTACGTCTCGCCTCCCCACAACTCAAGTCTTATGGGAGTAAAGGGAGAATTCTACGCTGGATTAAGGTGCTTCAATTAGACAGAACATTGCGAGTGAAAGTAGGGTCAACCTACTATTCTTCGGTGCTGGTCACCATTGCAGTTTCTCAAAGCTCCGTTTTCGGATAACTTTTGTTCCCGTTCTACATCAAAGACCTTCTGGATGTTGTTTCAAGTCCTGTTGTATAGTTGCAGGTTTTAAAGCGTTTTGTCATTGCTAGATTGCTTTTTCTCGTTTCATCTTGGTGTCAAATTTTGGATGATCAAAGCCTGAGCTTCTGGTCCCTCAGCCTTTTCGGTCCTTCCTCTCATTGTCGTCACACTCCATTCCTCATCAAACACAACAATTTATTCATCCGGAAAATTTCCATCGAACAACGAATCGATTCTTACGTCCTGAAAGGTTCGATACCAATCCCAATATTCAAGATTCGGCAGATAACTGGAAGCGCTGGTCTTGTACTTTCGGGATTTCCTTGAGTCAACCGCTTCTCATTCACCAGGTAAACTGAAAACCTTGTTCAACTACGTCGCTCCTAAAGTTTGCCGCTGCATCAAAGACTGTAAGAATCATGAATCAGCTACTGCAACCTTGCGAAAAAGTTAAGTGCAAGCGAAAGATGGCGTCTTCGCTAGGCATCTTTTGAATACTTTTAAGCAAGACGGAGATCAAAAACTTCATCAATTTGTGCAAAAGCTTCGCAGTTTATTGTCGGATTGCCACTTCACGGCTATCAGTGCAGAGCAACATAGTGAACCAATGGGAGACATCTATTAGTGGACTTTATTCGAGTACTATTCACCAGAGGCCATTGAAACATAAGTAGCTGAATATTAAAACTACCTACGATTATGTGAAATCCCTCGAGTTAGCGCGAAAACACTCGCAGTCGTTTTTCCCGAACAATCAACTCCCCTGGAACGACCCGCCAGGGTGTCCAAGTTCTCAAGCATCATCGCATGAACAGATGGCTGGCACTAGTATGGGATGTTCATGATTCTTCTGTGGCTATACTAGACTCACGCGATATCAATGCCTCAATAAAGATACGGGCTGCAAAAACTGGAGAGGCACTGGCAAAAAGTACGCAAATTTACTACTGATCCGACGAACACGTCATCTATTTCAAGCGCATTATCTTGCGTCAATGCCCCCAGTATCTCGAAGAAGCAGGCACCGATGTGAAGACCAATGGCGTTCCACCTCAAGCGCTTGTTGATGCTAGTAGTTCAGAAAGCCTCATTTAAGAAAATGTAGTCCGTCGTTATCAGTAGCCTGCTCTATTATCGTCATCTGAGATCACTTTGGCACCCATCCAGCGCAAAAGCTTCACTTCTGGATATTGGTTTTTAACACTGCAAAATAAACAAAACATGTCTCTCTTTCAAGTTTTCAGTATTACGTGGTCTTTCTGTGGAAATTCTATTAAATCATGATTTTCTTGAGCTTTATAGATCCCTGAAAATCTCATTCGACGGTGATAAACCTTTATTCTCGCTTTGTGGTCTATTCACTCTCACTTTGCGCACCTTGATTCAAGGTGTAGGCCATAAAGTCCAGGAGACATCCTGCAGACGAAGAGGCTTTCATTGTTTTCGAAATAAAGCGTTTACCGGAGCAACAAATCACTGAACCCTCAA